TTTTTTTATAAAAAATATATAATAAAAATTTTTATATTTAAATAAATTCCAATATCTAATAACTTAATTAAATAAAACAGAAACAAATTTTATTTTGAAAAAATAATTTAATAATATTTATCTGAGATACAAATCTTTTTGTATCAATCCATATTTATAATTTATTTTACTCATTCATTATCTTATAATTCATTTAATTAAGTTGAAATTTCTTCAATTATAAATACTGATTCTTGAAGTATTTTCAGAACTGAACTAAAATTAAGCTATCTTTTAGTATTAAGATTATAAGTAATCTTTTGATTATTATCTTCAAGTATCAAATAGTCTTTATTATCTGTAAAGATTTATTAAATTCACTATTCTTCAATTATTAATGAAGGGCAAGAATATTTTGAATAAAATTATAATTATTAAGAAAAGTATTTATTGTAAAAGAATTAATAATTATTCTTGGTTAAAAATAATCATTTTTGTTAAAATAAGATTTTAATTAAAAGTTTTATATAATAGTTAATTATGTTGATTATGCAATTTATTATCAAGAATTTCATGAATATAGAATCATTCTGTACTCTATATAACTGGAATTTATTTTTATGAGTAATATATTATTTCATATTATATATTAGAACTTTATTACTAATATTAAATTATATGATTCTTTATAATTTTGAGTTAGATCTTTTTTTATTTTTTAGCATCATATAATAAATCGTCAATGAATATATCACTGAGGCTGAGTTTTTGAATTGTGATTTAAACTTTTAATAAGAAAGTGCATTATTTTCCCACGTTTATCGTACGGAAAAAGATTCTATAATTTTTTTATAAATGTAAGCCAGTACTATGAGCTTTTTAAGATTTATTGTGCTTATTTATTATAATCAAAAAATGAACGACTACTATGGGTGGGTAACATTAAAAATTAATTTAAAAATGTTAATACGGTAATCATAATTATATAATAAAAGCTTTTTATTAGCGACACCGTTTATTTTTCTGTTGGTATCCCTTCCGAAGTTAATGAAAGAATTTATCGGTGCATGATCAGTAAAGAAAAAGAGTGTAATACTTCGGGATGGAAAGAACTCTTTGGCTTTTATGCTTACGATAAACCCGTAAGTTTTGTATTTTATGATCAAGTAATAAAATACTTAATCTTTTTAACTAATTTGCTTTACTGTTTATTAGCACCCTGGTACAGTGTCATTTTATGTAGAGAAAACCTCTAATCCACAGCGAATTTTCGTCAATAAAGTACCACAAAATTTAAAGGATTATTCTAAATTATTTGTCTTTTGGGCTTTCGAACATAAGCAAGTAATCCAAACTTTAATCTCTATCAATCATTTCATTCTTTTGTAAATCTATTGTTAATTAATACGAAAAACAGAGTCGCTCCTTCACTTAAACCAGTGACCATTGAACGTGTTGGTAATCCGGAGCGACATGTGTTTCGTATACAGGCTCTGAACCATATGCCTGAGAAAGGCGGGCAATTGGTTAATACTTTCTATGTTGTCGACACCGTTTATTGGGGAGTAAATTAATAAAATATAGACCACAAGAGATATTATATCAGTTATGTTTAACAAATTTAAAAAATGATGTATTTTGGCTTATAAAAAAGTAAATTTACGTGTGCTCGTAATGGTATACTAAAACATTGAAAAATTATCTATAGCATTTAAAAAGTTAGTAGATATTTAAAAAAGATAAATTTTAAATTTATCGGGTTATATTTTTCTTGAATACAAATATCACAGCGATAATTTTATTTTATTGTTGTAGTAAATAAGCACATCACATATTTAAGTTCTCGTTAATAACGTGAAATCTGTCACCACATAAAATTTACAAACTGTGATACGGTTTGTTTCGAGATGACGACGTCTCCAAGTGAATGGCTCGATGATGCGATTACTGTTGGTAAAATTTGTAAAATACCATTTGAAGAAATTACTAAGGAAGAAATTATTGATGACGGGTCATTCGGAGAAGTTTATTCAGTAAAATGCAAATCAATCACCGAAAGAATTGTACTTAAAAAGATAAAAAGATGTCATATTAAAGAGATAGCTTCTTCGCATTTATAAAGGAGGTGACTATTAATAAAGGTTTGATGTTTTGTAATACAGTATTAACTTGTAAATTATATTGGTATTCAAAGTTAAAATACAGTACTTTGGATCATGCGAATATTATACCTTTATATGGAATTAATGAGAGTTTGAGTATGTAAAAAATCTATTATAAATAAATTTGCCTTGTTGGATATTAATGTTACTTTCTGTTTTAAGATAGAAATGCCTATTTCTTGTAATGCAATACGCAAACAACGGGACGTTGTGTGAATTTCTGAAAGAGAAACGCGATACTTTAGACTGGGCTCAAAAGTTATTATTAACAAAACAAATGGCTGATGGCATTCAATATCTTCATTCGCGTGATATAATTAATCGAGATTTAGTAATATTTTTATGTTTATATTTAGCGTCATTTATAGATTTTCTTATTTCTGTTTTATGTAATAAGCATTCCAAAAATATTTTATTACATGATGAACAAATAAAAATCTCAGACTTCGGTCTTTCTAAGGATGTTAATAGTTTACCCACTAGCAATGCGAGATTTTTTGGTGCGACACCATACATTGAGCCCCAAGCTTCTATAGACTCTAAATACAAGAAGGCAAAAGATCAGATATTTATAGTTTAGGCGTATTATTATGGGAAATTTCGAGTTGCCGTGTTCCTTTTGAAGGTCATCATAAAGAAGCTCTTATACAGTAGATTCAAAAGGGAGCACGTGAAACTCCACTTCCTGATACTCCTTATGAATACATAGAATTGCATCAACATTGTTGGAAACCTGAACCAAAAAATCGACTTTTAATTCAGGAGGTTTGCAGTAGATTGAATTACAGGCCTGCTTTAGCAGAAATAAAAGATAAATTTGATGATAAACTAGATTTTAAATTACTTGCTGCTGATCTTGTGAACAAAGTAGTTAAACTTGCGCTTGCGAACACCAACAATCCAAAAAAGTTTGTTAACGGCTATATTCTTTATCTTAAAAATAATCCAGGTAAAAGTATGCGTGATATCACAAATGCATGGAAGGAAGAATCATTGGCGATTCGACAACTTTATCATAATACGCTCGTAAAAAATATATAAATATAATAAATCAATCGCGACAGCAATCTTCGTCGCAAAAAGCTCTTCAGTTTAATCTGTTATCAAGACGAATCCACACAAAATCCTGTTCTTCAGTTTGATCATATTTCCAGTTATCAAGACAAATCCGCACAAAATCCTCAAACTTCGCTGCTATCTCAAATGTTGCCATCACAATCATCGTATTCACGATCAGAAAAAAAGAGATTTTCTCTTTTCTGAACTGCCGTTAAAATTCTCACATATACAATCAGAAACGGAAGATTTTCCAAAAAACTATTAAAGATGAATAAAAAGCATTCGTGTGGTACTTGGAAGTAGCTGAGTTAATGCACAATTTATTTTTGCATTATGTTACCTCAATGGAAAAGACATGATTAAGAATAAATTTAAGGTTTTCGACTGAGAAAATAAGATCGCTTAAATTTATTCTAAATAAATTTTATAAAATATCAAGCTCACATTTACTCTATAACGATAATAAAGACATAAATATCCAAATCGAAAATATCAAATTCTTCAATGGAATAACAGATCAAGGCTTTCAATTACACAAGCTTCCCAGCAGCAATCAAAAATGACTTACATCTTTGCTTGAAATTGCTACTGGAAAAAATTTTTATTCAGGATTATTTATTGATATTCGATTATTGACGACAGACAATATTTATTAAGTCAACAACTATCGACTTAAGACTAAAAGCCAACTGAAGATTTATGTTAAGAAGTCTTAAAATCGTATACATCAAAACCAAGTATCTGAATGGTATCGATACTTCAAGACAACGGTAAATAAGACAATATATAAAATATTAAGTCAATTTACATCATACAGGTTCTCAATTATAATATTAAGCAGATTTTATATTTGTTGCAATCTTGCTTAAGTTTTAGAAAATAGTTTCTGTAAGTATCTTGGAAATTTTATTTTATCTGTTTCTAAAAATAATTAAGGAATTAATTGCATACGTGTTAATTGCATACGTATATTATTGTTTTTTGAGAAACACGTGCAAAATGACAAGAGCTATCGATATTCTACTTTGTCTAGTAACTGTTCAGTGGAATCCCAAAATCTATTGCCACCATTATCTTAACGTTAAACTGCAAAAGTTGTTAGTCAAACATAGATCTGGCTAGGTTCGCTGAAATAACGATAGTGTCTTTAATTAAATATTTCAATTTAAATTTTTGTGACCACGAAATAAAGATTCTAAATGTCGACATGATATTGTCACAAGTATTCACCTTATTTTTGTTTGAATTTTTGTATTCTCTATAATTTATTTTGATAGTCCGACTGGTGACATTTCATTACATTTAAAAAGCACTTTTGTTCGATATTTGATGACTATAAAAGATGGAAAACTTCAAAAAGGTATTCTTTATTTATCTTATTTGTTCCATTGCAACTAAAGATTATGTGATAAGGAAATCCTGGAAGAATATAAGAATCTCTATATCACCCTAACGCTAACACGGTTACGTAAACGAGGAATTAAAAATATTATTGATAGTGTTACATAGGGGAATTATTAATGTTATATTGTTCAGTATTGTCACGACAATTGGTTCCTGTATCGATATCTACGGATAGCATTGGACAAAAGTGAATTGAATCTATATATGCAGTCCCGGTCATGAGTAGAGATGGGCAAATGCGCGCATAGTTCATCACTATGCGTACTATGCGCACTATGCGCATAGTACGCATATGCGCA